CAGTGACACACAGTTAGTGAGACACAGTGAGACACAGTTAGTGTGACACAGTAACACACAGTGAGACACACAGTTAGTGTGACACAGTGACACAGTGAGACACAGTGACACACAGTTAGTGTGACACACAGTGACACACAGTTAGTGAGACACACAGTTAGTGAGGCACAGTGACACACAGTTAGTGAGACACACAGTGAGACACAGTGACACACACAGTGAGACACAGTGACACACACAGTGAGACACAGTTAGTGAGACACACAGTGAGACACAGTGACACACAGTTAGTGAGACACACAGTGTGACACACAGTGACACACAGTGAGACACAGTGACACACAGTGAGACACAGTGACACACACAGTGACACACAGTGACACACAGTGAGACACAGTGACACAGTGACACACAGTGAGACACACAGTGACACACAGTGACACAGTGACACACAGTGAGACACACAGTGACACACAGTGAGACACACAGTGACACACAGTGACACACAGTGAGACAGTGACACATAGTGAGACACAGTGACACACAGTGAGACACAGTGACACACAGTGAGACACAGTGACACACAGTGAGACACAGTGACACACACAGTGACACACAGTTAGTGAGACACACAGTGACACACAGTTAGTGAGACACACAGTGACACACAGTTAGTGAGACACACAGTGACACACAGTGAGACACAGTGACACACAGTGAGACACAGTGACACACACAGTGACACACAGTTAGTGAGACACACAGTGACACACAGTTAGTGACACACAGTGACACACAGTGACACACAGTGAGACAGTGACACACAGTGAGACACAGTGACACACACAGTGACACACAGTTAGTGAGACACACAGTGACACACAGTTAGTGTGACACACAGTGACACACAGTGAGACACAGTGACACACACAGTGACACACAGTTAGTGAGACACACAGTGACACACAGTTAGTGTGACACACAGTGACACACAGTTAGTGTGACACACAGTGACACACACAGTGAGACACAGTGACACACACAGTGACACACAGTTAGTGAGACACACAGTGACACACAGTTAGTGTGACACACAGTGACACACAGTGAGACACAGTGACACACACAGTGACACACAGTGACACACAGTGAGACACAGTTAGTGAGACACACAGTGACACACACAGTGACACAGTTAGTGAGACACAGTGAGACACGCACGGCGGCCGGCGAGGGCACCTCCAGCTCCTCAGCGTGCACCGTGGGAGGAGGCCGCGTCAGCGACACGCGGCTCTCGTCACATCCCAAGGGAAGTCAAAAGGCGCAGTGGGCTTGGCAGACGCGTTATTAATCACGTACGGCAGAGTTCGCACAGTGGTAGCGAGCCAGATGGAATACGCGATGACGCGGGCTGCGATGAGAAAGGCAACTGGCGCCGTTTTGGACGCGCATGTCGGATGGAGAACGACAGGAAAATGAAAACTTGTGCTGTTCGGGGGAGGGGGGGGGGGGGTAAAAAATGGAAGGAACCACAACGGAGGGGAAGACGTGAACAGAGAATGAGAGATTTGGTGCCAGGAGAGATGTGGCCACTCCTCGAGAATATATTGGCACAAGGACAGGCGTAAAAGTGGAAACATTACAATGTTGCGGCGGTTATACCCTAGGGGGGCTTATATTTGCCACATGGATCGCGATGACGACGACCGATTGAATGAATGTGCCGAACGCATCCGTCAGGCGCTGGCAATTCATTCAACGAAGCCTCAATCGGAAGACAAGACGCTGTTTCGCATGGGGCCACGGCATCCGGGTGAACATGAACCAGACGTGTCGTTGTACAATCGTGGGACTTGGGAAGACGCCCTGGCGTGTCGACGCTCCGATGTCAACTGCCCGCCGAGTCGCCCTTGAAATAATCCGTTGCTTTAGCTCAACATTTAATTATTTGTGTTGCTTTTAAATTTGCACACGAAAAGCCGCCACTTTGAGCTCATCAATTGTGGCCAGGTCGCTTAAGTGGGCTTTACCTGGCAAGATTAAAAAAACAGTTTCGTTTCATTTGCATCTTTAACGATTTGTTTAGATTTCCCGTAGTTTGCACTTCTATTGTGTTTTTATATTGTGTATTGTTGTAACGTTCTGACCCCCCAACCACCCTACACTGGACGTCTTTGAAAGAGTTTCATACAGCGAGGGAAAAAAGTATTTGATCCCTTGCTGATTTTGTACGTTTGCCCACTGACAAAGAAATGATCAGTATATAATTTTAATGGTAGGTTTATTTGAACAGTGAGAGACAGAATAACAACAACAAAATCCAGAAAAACGCATGTCAAAAATGTTATAAATTGATTTGCATTTTAATGAGGGAAATAAGTATTTGACCCCCTCTCAATCAGAAAGATTTCTGGCTCCCAGGTGTCTTTTATACAGGTAACGAGCTGCGATTAGGAGCACACTCTTAAAGGGAGTGCTCCTAATCTCAGCTTGTTACCTGTATAAAAGCCACCTGTCCACAGAAACAATCAATCAATCAGATTCCAAACTCTCCACCATGGCCAAGACCAAAGAGCTCTCCAAGGATGTCAGGGACAAGATTGTAGACCTACACAAAGCTGGAATGGGCTACAAGACCATTGCCAAGCTGCTTGGTGAGGTGAGAAGGTGACAACAGTTGGTGCGATTATTTGCAAATGGAAGTAACACAAAAGAACTGTCAATCTCCCTCGGCCTGGGGCTCCATGCAAGATCTCACCTCGTGGAGTTGCAATGATCATGAGAACGGTGAGGAATCCGTCCAGAACTACACGGGAGGATCTTGTCAATGATCTCAAGGCAGCTGGGACCATTGTCACCACAAAACAATTGGTAACACACTACGCTGTGAAGGACTGAAATCCTGCAGCGCCTGCAAGGCCCCCCTGCTCAAGAAAGCACATATATATGCCCGTCTGAAGTTTGCCAATGAACATCTGAATGATTCAGAGGACAACTGGGTGAAAGTGTTGTGGTCAGATGAGACCAAAATGGAGCTCTTTGGCATCAACTCAACTCGCCGTGTTTGGAGAAGGAGGAATGCTGCATATGACCCCAAGAACACCATCCCCACCGTCAAACATGGAGGTGGAAACATTATGCTTTGGGGGTGTTTTTCTGCTAAGGGGACAGGACAACTTCACCGCATCAAAGGGACGATGGACGGGGCAATGTACCGTCAAGTCTTGGGTGAGAACCTCCTTCCCTCAGCCAGGGCATTGAAAATGGGTCGTGGATGGGTATTCCAGCATGACAATGACCCAAAACACACAGCCAAGGCAACAAAGGAGTGGCTCAAGAAGAAGCACATTAAGGTCCTGGAGTGGCCTGGCCAGTCTCCAGACCTTAATCCCATAGAAAATCTGTGGAGGGAGCTGAAGGTTCGAGTTGCCAAACGTCAGCCTCGAAACCTTAATGACTTGAAGATCTGCAAAGAGGAGTGGGACAAAATCCCTCCTGAGATGTGTGCAAACCTGGTGGCCAACTACAAGAAACGTCTGACCTCTGTGATTTCCAACAAGGGTTTTGCCACCAAGTACAAAGTCATGTTTTGCAGAGGGGTCAAATACTTATTTCCCTAATTAAAATGCAAATCAATTTATAACATTTTTGACATGCGTTTTTCTGGATTTTTGTTGTTGTTATTCTGTCTCTCACTGTTCAAATAAACCTACCATTAAAATTATAGACTGATCATTTCTTTGTCAGTGGGCAAACGTACAAAATCAGCAGGGGATCAAATATGTTTTTTCCCCCTCACTGTAGCTCATCGGATTCCTCCAGTAAGAGATACACATTCGGATTCCAAAACTTTCAATTCTGATATGTATACCAGCGCGGCAGTTAGAACGTTCGGCAAGTTGTGTTTGTCGAACGTCTTGCGTACCGTACGTAGCCAACCGTGATAATCGGAGGTGCCCGTGCACCAATATAATCGGCAGGTCGCGTGTTTGTGCGGTAAATTGGTGGATTATTCCCTATTGCAAGGAAGTATAGCCAACGTGGAAGAGTAGGCCAAAACACCGCTCTCTACAGTAAACTAAAGAAGGTTCCCCCCTAGAACTCCGAGATGCTTCAACCAGCAATTGCAGGGCCGCGCCGCTTACAATGAAAATAATTTACCGCTCGTCACTAAAACACTGTGGATGAAAGTGCCACGGTGCCGTGTCGGGCACACGGAGTTTAACCATACTTCACCACGCTGGTTACCGAGGGGGGGTTCCGTGGGAGTGTGTGGGCTCGGAACCGATAACGATATCACGCGCACCGCTCAGCGTTAGCCATGGGCCGGAATTGAACTCGGGTTGCCAGATGTACGGAGCATCGGCGCTAACCAGTGCGCACGCCAGCGTTCCATCCAATCGTACAATAAGATTTTTTTTAAAAATATATATATATTTAAAACGCGATGTGGATCTCAGCAATGCGGCGTTATGTGCGGTTTTAAAACAAAAGACCCCCGCACAGAACGAGCCAACACACACCGCTGCAACATTGCGCAGCGGAGCAGCAGCAGCAGCAGAGAACACCCAATCCGTGCCACGACGTACACGATTACGGAAAATTATATGGGGGGGGGAGAGGGGGGGTGGTGGCAGCCGGGCGATAGCATTAAATTACTAATAATTACTCTCGAAATACGTTTAAGATATCGTTTTAAAAACGCACGTGAAAATTCACGCTGCCCGCACCACCACCACTCCACTATTCCAGCTGACGAAATCCCGCAGCAGGATTACAGAAGCAGCGGTGCAGGGGGATGGGAGTGCTCCGCACGCGTTTTGGTCACACGGCGAACGCTGCGAAGACTTCACAAAAGACATCTCTCGTTTACAACACCAAGAAGAACAAAAGAAGATCACACGTGGTTGGAGGAGGGGGAGGGGTGGGGGTCGCGTTTTTTAAACAAGGGCATGCCCCGCGGTGCCAATGGACCGGACTCGCAGGACCAATACACTCACCCTTTCGCTGGTTTTGAAGTCGCCTTGTTCGCAGTGACTCACGACCAAAAAAAAATTACATAAACGTCGGCGCGCCACAGAAGAAGAATAATAATTAGAATAAATTACGGTGGCCTAATATTGCTGGGCTGGACGACTTTCCGGTTTGCAAAGGGGCCCTCTCGCTTCTCGCCTACACACGCGCGTGTGTGTGTGTGGACGATGACTCGGGAATTCGAGCCACTCGCTGCTGTTGTAGCTGATGGGGGCTAGCGCAGGGGATGGATGGATGGGACGAACGAACGGGCGAGAGAGAGAGAGAAAGCGAGAGAGAGAGCGAGGAGGCAAACAGGATGAGCAGCAGCTGAGAGCAAAAGAAGGCTGAGCATGGCCAGGCCGGGCGGATAAATAAGCGCGCTCACACTCCTCCCCACGTAGCCACGCGACTCACTTGTCACAGACCCCGTGCTCTGATTGGCCGTGCGATGGGGATGTGGCCCATCTCGCAACAGCAGCAGCAGCAGGAGGCACACAGACACACACCCCTACCGCCAAACACGTGTTTATCGAGAGTATGGCAAATAGACGGGGGGGAGACGTAGGTCGGTTGTTGGTTAAAATCAACCAAAGGAGGAGGGTCGATTTTTGTTGTTTTTTTGGAGCGAGCGCTGGAGAGTTCGTGGATGCATGGGGATTGTGTGTGTGTTGTGCGTGTGTGCACGTGTGTGTGTGCGCGTGTGTATGGGGAGCGGTGGTGAAGCGGTTAGCGCGCTGCGCTACGAACCTGGCAACCCCGCTCAAGGCCAACACCAGTTGCGATTATTTGACCCGGTTCTGGGCCTCCCCTAGGTTGACTCAGCCTCAAATGAGTGCGACGTGTAAACATTGCTTGCCACCCACCCCCTCGTGTGCCGTTCCGGTCTTCATAGGTGCTCGCTAAACAGCACTTGCCCCTACAGTCTGTTAAGGCTATAGAGCGATCTTTGTGTGTAGTATCTGGAAAATAGTGGGGGAGCGGTGGTGCAGTGGTTACCGCACTGTGTGTTACCAACTCTCTCGCTCACGGCCAACATCGGCGATAAAATATATCTGAACCGATCGCGAAACTGCGCTTGATCGACTCGCCTTTAAATGAGTACCTGGTGCGGTGTGTCAACAACGAAACCAATCATCACTGGGGAGAGAAAGGTGTGTCAACAACCAAACCAATCATCACTGGGGAGACAAAGGCGGTCGTGCGTGGTGCTGGCCACCCAATCCCTTGTGTGTACCCTAGCGGCCTTCATAGGTGCTGCTCGCTAACATAACTTGCCCCTTATACAGTGCGTTTAAGGCTATGTGTCGGATAGCAGATCCAATTTCTTGCGAGTGTGAGAGCCACACCCATATGCTGGACGCTATGTACCAGCACTGCCACGCCGGTGAGTCACATGATAATGTCGCTTCTGAGCGATTTGGAATATCAACAAGACTGTGTGCAGAATGTTGGCAAAGTTGCTGACGTGAAAGGCACGCTGGGTTTTCATATTTAGATGTTTTCAGAGGTTTTTCTTCTCTACTCCATGCAGTGCCGGATTAAGCTAGTGCCGGATTAAGCTAGTGCCGGATTAAGCTAGTGCCGGGCCTGTAGCAGCAATATGTTATGTAGGGGCCCTAAATAAAAGAAACACATACATATTAAAACACACATTTTTTACTTGCAAAGTAAAGTAATTGTATTTGTTCATTCGCTATACAGCCAGATAATACGACAAATCGCTAACCTTAAACACCCGGTCGTTTATAAAAGTTTAAGGCGGTATCGTACTATAGTAATCGAGCAAGTGCAGAATCACTGAACCGGAATTGATAGCTTGAAAGCATTTAGCACGGGGCCCTTGAAAGTACGGGAAACGTAGCATATATATAGCTACTTTTGCTACGTATGCTACCACTCCTGTTCCGCGCCCAGCGCAGTGTCAACCCCACCACGCATGCAACCGCGTATTACGTAAGCGCTTAGAATGACTACAGACAGCGCTTCCGCGGATTTCCGCGAAGCGAGTGGACACAATGACGCAACCGTTTCACATCCGATTTGCAAGCGGCCACCGAGGGGTTATCATTAACCTACCACTACGCATTATTAAGCTACCGGAATAAAAACGTGGGCTTGTCTTTTCGGTGCGTTCGTTGCGTTTAAAATTGCCGCATTTCCCCCTTCTACGAAATATTAATCGCGCTTTGTAAATCATGATCGTATGATTGCCAATTATTTCGCGCAGGAGAGCCTCGCCAAAGTCTCTCTTAACTCGTTGTCACAGGTGGGTTGATGCCACATTTGGGATGATTTGGCCACCATACACGAGTGAGTCGATGGCATCGTATGGCAGTAACCTGGTAAACCCGGAGTAAAACCCAGCACCGAGTTGGGTTTTTTTTTTACTAGGTAAGGGCCCCACTGAGCTATGTAGCGTTTTTTCAGAAGCGACCTGGCCATCACAACAATGATAGTTCAACGAAAGTGGCTTATTTATTGCGTGCAAATTTAACTGTAAACGCGTCATGTTGACTCTAAATGCGGAAGGTGGAAAACTCGGAGGAACCGGAGAAAAATTCACGGGCCCACGGGGAGAGAGACACCGCACACTCCAAGTATACAACAGGCGTCAGTTTCGGGACCGAATCCGCGACCTCCGGTATACCAGGCGAGGTAGTCAACATCCCCTAGCCACCGTGGCGTATACGAAGGGATGACACAATGCACGGCCATCTCCTGATCAAACCTCGTACCCCCACGCCTACAAAACCTGGTAAGCCCTGGTGGTGGTGGTTACCCATCCAAGTACAGCACTTGACCACGTGCTCGCTAACAGCACTTGCCCCAACAGTCTGTTCAGGCTATACGGGGGGTCTTTGTCTTTGTGTGTTTTTACGCTGTGTTGATTGCAGTGGTCTCCAGCGGCTGCACGCTATCACGCGAACCCGAGCGTAGAACACATTGTAAGCCATTGTCTATCCACTGCTGGATGCATGAAAGTTCCGCCAACATTCTAATGTGGTTGGAGCCTTTGGACTCATGTTTTCCCAACGTTCCATGTCATATCGTGTACGGTATGTTGAACTTCTTTCGCCCCGCACGTAGTCAACCGAGCTAATGGGAGGTGCGTGTTGCAGGTGGAGGGAATGGTTATTTTGAACCGGGGGGAGGTTTGCTCCATTAGCTGCCAATCAGTCACCAGCCTCGTTCATCGTCGGCTCATTAATGATTGAAGTTCAGGGTCCTTCTCGATTGTTGAATGGGCGACAATCACGTGACCATTCCGAGCACATGCTCTACAAGCGGTGCCGGATTAAGCAAGTGCGGGGCCTGTAGCATATGTTATTAAGGGTCCTTAAATGAAAAAAAATAAAGACACAAATATTAAAACACTAATTTTTAACTTGCACAGTAAAGTTATCGTATTTTCCCATGTGCTATACAGCCAGATAATACGACAGATCGCCAACCTCAAACACACGGTCGGTCGTAAAAGTTGAAGGCGGTATCGTACTATGGTAGCAGATCAAGTGCAGAATCACTGAACCGGAATTGATAGGTGCTAGCTAGGTCTTAATAGGTGCTAGCTAGGTCTTAATAGGTGCTAGCTATTGGCACTTGTCCTTACATCCTGCCAAGGCTATACGGGGCATCTTCGTCTCGACCGTACGTGTGCCCCCTTATTGTCATCCCGGGCACATGCCTGGAGTGCGCCTTCGAATCCGGAGAATTCGGTGCACGTTTCCACGGATTTCGAGAAATATCGCTGACGACACAGCCTAGGGGTGTTGCGCTCTTGAGGATGACCCGGCACTCTCGGCTCCGCACCTGCTCCTTCCACCAGCGCCCGTGCGTGCTCGAGAAGTGGGTGGAGAAGTGGGAAAAACATCGCGGTGGGGGGGGACTGCTCCCGTTGATTGGCGCTCCTCTCGCGCAAGAAGAAGACGAAGGGGGCGGTTGGAAGGTGTGACCAGGGTGTGTGTGTGTGTGGAAGGTGTGACTAGGGTGTGTGTCTGTGTGTGTGTGGAAGGTGTGACCAGGGTGTGTGTCTGTGTGTGTGTGGAAGGTGTGACCAGGGTGTGTGTTTGTGTGTTTGTGGAAGGTGTGACCAGGGTGTGTGTCTCTGTGTGTGTGGAAGGTGTGACCAGGGTGTGTGTCTGTGTGTGTGTGGAAGGTGTGACCAGGGTGTGTGTCTGTGTGTGTGGAAGGTGTGATCAGGGTGTGTGTGTGTGGACGGTGTGACCAAGGTGTGTGTGGAAGGTGTGACCAGGGTGTGTCTGTGTGTGTGTGGAAGGTGTGACCAGGGTGTGTGTCTATGTGTGTGTGGAAGGTGTGACCAGGGTGTGTTTGTGTGGAAGGTGTGCACAGAGTGTGTGTCTGTGTGTGTGGAAGGTGTGACCAGGGTGTGTGTCTGTGTGTGTGTGGAAGGTGTGACCAGGGTGTGTGTCTGTGTGTGTGGAAGGTGTGACCAGGGTGTGTGTGTGTGGAAGGTGTAAACAGGGTGTGTGTCTGTGTGTGTGTGGAAGGTGTGACCAGGGTGTGTGTGTGTGGAAGGTGTGACCAGGGTGTGTGTGTGTGGAAGGTGTGACCAGGGTGTGTGTCTATGTGTGTGTGGAAGGTGTGACCAGGGTGTGTGTCTGTGTGTTTGTGTGGAAGGTGTGACCAGGGTGTGTGTCTGTGTGGAAGGTGTGACCAGGGTGTGTGTCTGTGTGTGTGTGGAAGGTGTGACTAGGGTGTGTGTCTGTGGAAGGTGTGACCAGGGTGTGTGTCTGTGTGTGTGTGGAAGCTGTGACCAGGGTGTGTGTGGAAGGTGTGACCAGGGTGTGTGTCTGTGTGTTTGTGTGGAAGGTATGACCAGGTTGTGTGTCTGTGTGGAAGGTGTGACCAGGGTGTGTGTCTGTGTGTGTGTGGAAGGTGTGACTAGGGTGTGTGTCTGTGTGTGTGTGGAAGGTGTGACCAGGGTGTGTGTGTGTGGAAGGTGTGACCAGGGTGTGTGTCTGTGTGTGTGTGGAAGGTGTGACCAGGGTGTGTGTGGAAGGTGTGACCAGGGTGTGTGTCTGTGTGTTTGTGTGGAAGGTATGACCAGGTTGTGTGTCTGTGTGGAAGGTGTGACCAGGGTGTGTGTCTGTGTGTGTGTGTGGAAGGTGTGACTAGGGTGTGTGTCTGTGTGTGTGTGGAAGGTGTGACCAGGGTGTGTGTGTGGAAGGTGTGACCAGGGTGTGTGTTTGTGTGGAAGGTGTGACTAGGGTGTGTGTCTGTGGAAGGTGTGACCAGGGTGTGTGTCCGTGTGTTTGTGTGGAAGGTGTGACTAGGGTGTGTGTCTGTGTGTGTGTGGAAGGTGTAACCAGGGTGTGTGTGTGTGGAAGGTGTGACCAGGGTGTATGTCTGTGTATGTGTGAGGTGT